AAGAGCAGGACAGCTTACCATAGGCCCCTCTCCTCACTTGACTAGACGGGGTGAGAAGGCCCTGGTATAATTTAAAGAGCCAAACCACATCAAAATTCAGAGCAAGAGATCAAAATATAAGAGAGCCCATTTGCTTAACTGAAAAATATGCAAAAACAAAATTTGAGTCCGATGGCACCTTTAAGACCAATGAAGTTTTATTCCTGGAATAAGCTTTTGTGTGCATGTGCATGCGTGCAAACGAAAGCTTATACCAAGAATAAAACTTTGTTGGTCTTAAAGGGGCCACTGGACTCAAACTTTGCTTTTCTGCTTCAGACCAACTTGACTACCCACCTGGATGAAAATATACAACTGATCATTGGCATGTTAACGAATAATCCATAAAAGTTTCTGCAGTACAAACATTGGCTGTTGTGAGTCCCTGTACTAAGAAGTGGTATACCTGAGATTTCACACTCTGAGCGACCCAGGAGCACCTTTTGTGACTGTTTTAGCGCCCTGGCATAAATCAGTGCATGATCTGTGCTTGGAGTCCTGGCAGCAGTTCCCCTCTATCATTTCCTGTTCTATAAAGCGTCCCTAAGAGGCCCAGAGAAATCCCTGCCAGCCATTCCCTTCCCATACTGGTCCTTCAAGCATCTCCACCTATCCCCCACCCACCCCCAATACAAGTTAACTTAGTTAGTTACAAGTTAGCCCATTTTATGATTTACAGAACCATACTTGGTGCCACAGTGAGCCTTATTCAACTCTAGAGACATAGTTTGCAAACCTCTCACCTCTTAGTACAAGCAGGGCCGGCCCGAGGTTGTCCTGCGCTCTAGGCGAGCGCAGATGCCAACCTCCCGACGGGAGACTGGCACACTCCTCCCGGTCGCCCCTGAGCCTCCAGAAGGGCAGAAGAGGCACTCTTTAAAGAGGAGGAGGATGAGGAAGTGGCGGTGGCCGTTCCTCCTCCGGGCGCAGCGGGCCGCCGCTGCCACCTCCCCCGCCGCCACTGCCTCCCCCCCTCTTTAAACTCCAGAAGGGAGGAAGAGGCACACTTCAAAGAGGAGAAGGAGGTTCCTCCTCCTCCGGGCGCAGCAGGCGGGCCACCGCCGCCTCCCCCCGCTGCCGCCACCCCGCCGCCACTGCCTCCCTGCCGCCACTGCCTCCCCCCCGCCCTGCCGCGTCTCCCTCCCCCCGCGGCTACCTGCGGAGGAGGAGGAGGAGTGCCGGCCAGGAGGCTCCCTGCCTGCCTGCCTGCCTGCCTGTCTGCCTCGCCACGGGCCGGGCTGCGGGTGAGGAGAGGCTGCCGGCGGCCGCCCCTGCCTCTCCTCCCACACCCCAACAGCTGGCTCGCGCTCTAGGCGGCGGCCTAGGTCGCCTAGCGGGCGAGCCGGCCCTGAGTACAAGGACTCACAACAGCCAGTGTTTGTACTGCAGAAACTTTTATGGATTATTCGTTAACATGCCAATTATCAGTTGTGTAGGAGTGGAATCAGCTGCCTAGGGACGTGGTGAGCTCCCCCTCACTGGCAGTCTTTAAGCAGCGGCTGATCCTGCAGGGGGTTGGACTGGACAGCCTGGACGGCCCCTTCCAACTCTGTGATTCCGTGATTCTGTGATCTATGCTCTGATCATATCCAAGCTAGATCACTGTAAACAGTTCAGAAACGTCAACTGGTGTGAAAAGCGGTGGCCAAGCTACTGCCAGGGGTTGGTTACAGGGACTGTATCACACCTGTGCACTGGTTACCCACCTGTTTCCGGTCACCATTCAAAGTGCTGGTTCTTATCATTAAGGCCCTAAAAGGTGATGGACCAGGATGCCTGAAGGACTGTCCCCTCCCATATTATCCAGCCCATCAGTTAGGATGTACTCTCAAGCGTTGCTGTCTGTGCCTCCACGTTTAAAGGTGGGGCAGCTGGCAACTCTAGACAGGGCCTCTTCTGCTGTGGCACCTCCTCTCTGGCACCTGCTTTATTTTCTTTTAGACTCCACGTCAAAACACATCTTTTACCCAGGCTTTTTATTAGGGGTTTTATCTCATCAGCTTTTCAATGGTCTCTTTCTGTTTTGTGTGTAGTTTTAATGTACGCTGCTTGTGTTTTTTGTCAGTTGCCTTGAGTGGGACTTTGAAGAGGTGGCGCAGAATGAACAAACAAACACACAAATACTGAACATGCAAAGATGTGAGGGGCAGAATCCTCTATGGTGATCCCAGTTCCTCCCCCCCAGCGTGTTCGTTCAAGACAGAGGCTTTGTCTGTTTCTCCCAGGAAGGTATTTTGGGAGCAAGGCTTTGTCTTATTTTCAGGAGTCATTTTTGCTTCACCAGTGAATCCAAGGCAGTTGGGGGCCTGGATGCCTTTTTAAAAAAGTCCCTGCCTGTCTGAGTGGAGGGAAAGTTCAACAGCATAGTGAACAGTTTACCTTTGAGGGACGCCGTTGCTACCGCTGCCACCAAAAGGTCGACTGCCTGGAAAAAAGATAAGATAAAAATTACATACTGAACATCGGCGCTCACAGTATGGCATGTTTGCAGGACTAATTTATTTCAACATATATTTAAGAGTAAAGTGCGTGCCATCAAAGCACAGACTACTTCATGGCGACCCTGCGAGGATTTCAAGGCAAGCGGTGAGCAGAGGCGGGTTTGCCATTCCCTGCCTCTGTGTGGCAACCTTGGACTTCCTTGGTGGTCTCCCACCCAAATACTGAGTATGGCCAATCCTGTTTAGCTTCTGAGCTCTGATGAGACGGGGTTAATCTGGGCTATGAGGGCTGCCAAATATATATTTACAAATGCATTTTTAAAAATACGGTTAGAACATTTGAAAAAACTTTGCTAAAACAGCTTCGTACGGCAGCAATCATTGCAAGATCCGGCCCGTGTGACCGGGGCCTTAGAACATTTGAAAAAACTTTGCTAGAACAGCTTTGTACGGCAGCAATCATTGCAAGACGGCTTTTCTCCCTTCTCTCCTATTTGCTCAGCAATTGTTCACATGGAACGTTTCTAACCAGGGTTGACAGCTCTGGGTTGGGAAATACCTGGAGATTTTGGGGGCAGAGCCCAGGCAGGGCAGGTTTTGGGGAGAGGGAGGACCTCAGCAAGGTGTAATGCCACAGAGTTTACTATCCAAAGCCACCATTTTCTCCCAGGGAACTGATCTTGGCCACCTGGAGATCAACTGTAATAGGGGGAGATCTCCAGGTGCCACCTGGAGTTTGGCATCCCTATTTCTAACTGACATGAATACCACTGCCCTGAGAGACATTATCTGTAGCATCCACGGTCAATGTTCATGGGTTCTTAGGTCTGACCAGGTCAATCTGTTTATATAACAGTAAACACGGAAAAAGCCAGAAGATAAGAGGTTCTGTTTAGAATGTCATGGTTACTCAGTAAAATATTTTATGCTAGGAAAAGAGAATCACAGAATCACAGAGTTGGAAGGGGCCATACAGGCCATCTAGTCCAACCCCCTACTCAGTGCAGGAGTAGCCTAGAGCATAGCATGCAGACTGAAACAAGCCACCGCAGGCTCACATTGGATAACAACTGTGAAGACACGGATGATAACTGAGAACCAGAACCAGCCCTGACACTAACAAGTCTACAGATGAAGGCTGGTTACTATCCCTTGCCCATTTTACTGGAGGAAAAAGCCAGAGACAGGGTCTAGGAGACTCAGGTTCAAGCCCAAACGCTGCCGTGGAAGCTCGCAGGGTGGCCTTAGGCCTGTCATACGCACCATCAGCATCACCTCCCTCATCGGGTTGTTGTTGTGTAGATAAAATGGAGAAAGGTTTCCCCACTGCCACCACTTTCACAATGGGAAGAGCAACGTGCAGCAATGGAGGGAAGCACGGCAGAGAGAGGAGTCTGAAGCAGCACGATACAGAACAAGACAGTGCCAGGAAATGGAGCCTTCTGTGGCCGCGGAGCTTGGGCACCTTACAAGCTTATCCCTGAAGGATGGGGCCATGCTGTCTAAGGCGGCGAGTGCCCGTGGGTGACGCTTGTTAACAGTTTCCTTTTATTTCCATTTTCTAAGCAAGCTAAGCTTTTTCAATGGCCACTCAACAAGCTGTCCCAATTCTAGCACCTGCTGATGCAAGCGGTTTGGAATGACTGCGCACAGAGCTCCACACCTCGAAATGTTTTGGAGGAAACACCAATTGTAAAAACACCCCTCCCCTCAATAAAACAATCACATGCACAGTTCTTGACCCATCATATGGGTTAAATATATTTTCTGAGCCTGATTGCACGTGTTCCCCCCACCCCCCAAAAAGTGAAGTGGCAAATAAATCCAAGTTTCAATTCATAGAAAATGCAACTCCTTTCTCATTGAGATCCAGTCAGGGCTATTTTTGGGCAGGAACGCACAGGAATGGAGTTCCGGCTGGCTCCCAAGTTGGCCACACCCAGTAGGAACTCATTAGCATAATAGGCCACACCCGACAGCAGAAACTCATTAGGACTGGCTACATTAGGGGTGTGTGGCCTAACATGCAAAGGAGTTCCTGCTACAAAAAAAGGCCCTGGGTTTTGACAACAAACAAGGTAAACAGAATAAGAAGGGAAAGGTGGGTGTGGCTAGATGACCACACTGGTAACACGGGGGTGCGGTCTAATGTGCTAATGAGCTGTGCCATCAGGGGTGTGGCCTAATATGCTAGTGAGTTTCTGCTGTTGGGTGTGGCCTATTATGCTAATGAGTTCCTGCTGGGCTACAAAAAGGGCCCTGGTCCAGTTATGGTGAAATAAAAGAAACGAAGCTTGTGCACTGTAACAACGAATGAAGAGGTTGCAAAACATGAGCAGTCGCAAAGGAAAAGTGCCTAAGCGCAAGTGTTCTTTGACTGAGCTGCAAGTGAAGCGCACGAAGATTCAGAAAGGAGAATGCTGGGAACTTTGGCAACAAATGACTCAAGGGAAGAAAGCCATGCCGAACGACATGCCTCTGTGCTGACTGCAGTTTGCCAAGACAGGTTACTTACTAGCCAACTCCTCCTCCTCTTCACTGGAAGAAGAGCCAATAGAAAAGACAGTTTTAGACTTAGGAATGAGCGGAGAGATGCTGAAGGCGAAGGAGATGCGTCTGGATGGCCGAATTCGTCCCTGGGCTGGGGAGTGGGTTAACAGTAAATGTCAGACAGCAACCATCACAGATAAAAGGAGAGGAAGAATAGCCGCGGCAAAGAGCAAGGCCAAGAGCAACTCAGTTTCATTAGAGAAGGGCACAACTGCAGGCTTGGGGCTTCTGCGCTATTTACTGGCAGATCTGCAACAGCCATAACCAGATATGCAGACGAGTTTTCTTTAGCGGCCTGTGGATGAACAGCAGGCCATTCATTGAGAGCCAGTTTGGTGTAGTGGTTAACTGTGCGGACTCTAATCTGGGAGAACCTGGTTTGATTCCCCACTCCTCCACCTGCACCTGCTGATGTGACCTTGGGTCAGTCACAAGCTCTGGCACAGCTGTCCTTGAAAAAGAGCAGTTTGTGTCAGAGCTCTCTCAGCCCCACCCACCTCACAGGGTGTCTGTTGTGGGGAGGGGAAGGGAAAGGAGTTTGTAAGCCGCTCTGAGACTCCAAGTGGAGGGCGGGGGATAAATCCAATCTCTTCTTCTTCTTCATTCTGTAGGCATGCAGGAATCCCGATCTGGCATCACAACTGTTAACAGCAGCCCCCCTCCCTATTTCAGTGACTGGGGGGGGGAGGTAGGCAGATGTTCCAGAGGTCTAGCAGCTTGAGTGGAAGCGCTCCCTCCAATGATTTGAAACGTACTGGGGGAGCAAGCCTAAGCAACTCTACTCAGAAGTAAGTCCTATTTGGCTCAATGGAGCTTAGTCCCAGGAAAGTGTTCTTATAATTGCAGCCTTCTTTAGTTCCATTCCTCCTGCAGGCACTGGTCATCATTACCACATGTATACACGGGGTAGGGGAGAGTCGTTTTCCTACCAGATGGGGGAAGGCAGGTGACTCTCCTCCCAGTCCAGGAGCAGCCCACCCCCCACCCCCTCCGGGGAATCTTCTCCTTTCAAGAGGTCCCAGCTGGGGCAAGAAGAGGCACTTTGGCTATAGTCAGACAGCATACTTGCTGAGTTCTGACCGTGTCTCTAATTTGATCCAAGGTTTTTTGTGCTGGAGAATTTCGATCAAACATTCACCCATAACCTGCTTCACCGCGCGCTCACCCCGTGGTTGGCCATCCAAATTAGTGCCATGCAGCTGCCAATGAGAAGGGCGGTCAGGTGACTTTTTAAAAAATTGGTAGGTTGCACGTGTGTATAAGTGTGCATTCGAAGCACGAAGCAGAATTATTTGTTGCTTGTGCATGCGCAGAAACGCCTAATCGAGGCACTGCTCCTTTTGACAGTGGTGCGCTTATGCGCACATTGCTAACTGCTTCAAAAAAAAAGGTGCAAGAATGGAAGCGAAGGTTCAGACTTCCCATACGGCTTGAGATTGCAATAGGAGAATTTATACATCTGGAAATGCGGGATGAAGCCAACTCCACCGTAAAGACTGGACTTTCCCAGGTATCAAATAAATCCAATTCGGAGAGGGGTGATAACAGGTGGCTGACAACTGGGGAACGGGACACAGATGTTGCTGTCTGAACATGCATTTTAAATTCGCAAGGCAACAGCGGCGACTTTAGATCAAACAGCTCGTCTGACCGCAGCCTTCATCTGTTCCGCCAGCTGTGGAATGCTTTCTGTGAGTTTTATGCTCTGGTGGAGTTTTTACAGTAACTTTAGCAATTTTTAATTATTTTATTCTGTTTCATGATTTTACTTTGAAAGCTCCATCCAGCAGGTTCTCTGAAGAAGTGGCACAGAAATTGTCCAGATAAAATAAACCAACACAGGCTTCAGTGCATCCAACGAAGCGAGGCCTGACTCACAAAAAGCTTCTGCCGGAATCAGTTGTGTTAGTCATTAAGGTGCCACTGGATTCCTGTTAAGTTTTGCTCCAACAGACTAGAATCCTTACCCCTCCAGAATTAACTCCCTTTTCCAGGCAGAGATACAACAGGCAGCCACCGAGGAAGTTAGTTCAACCTGTTTAATTGGGAAAGACTGAAGGATAGGATTGCACCTCATGCAGAGATACAGCAGAATGGCCCAGCTCTGCAAACCAAGAAAGGTGAGGCGAGGTCTGAGCAGTATGTCACCAGAGTTGCAGCGGGCAGGCTCCTCTGCAGGAGGGTAATTTGGGACTTGCAGGAACCTCTTGTTTGGAAATTACTGCTGCAACTTAGCGCAGAGCTAAATCAGATCTGGGGGCACCGTACAAGCCAGTATCACTATGGGCACCAACTAAAGACAGGGGGCTGGAATTCCAAACCTCCTTCAGGAACAGCTCTTCCAAACACCAAGGTCAACCTATCTTTCAGAAACCTTTTTAGAGAAGCTATGTGATGCTTTCGGACTCTTCCTGCCCATTACCCCACAAAGCCATAACAGTTTTAAAAAAGGGATAGCAACTCTCAGTGGTCAGGACAATACTAACACTATTATACTGAAACTCATAAACTCTGCATTCAAGGGGGCTTTGTCATAATCTGGAGGAAGGGTTTTTGAGTTCACCAGATTCCACTACAGTGATTAAAGCAACCATGCAACTTTTTCACTGAAATCAAGATGACTCAAAAGTGCAGTTTTAACTGGATCAAGCCCTATGCCTGTACCTGTCAGAGTCTGGTGTTCAAATGCAGAGTAGAAGTGTGCTTGAAAATGCAGGACTCGGAAGACACTCGATGTTTATAGTAAAAGCTAAGCCTGGGAGCGGTGCAGCAATTGAAAATCTCTAACATGCATGCAGTGGCAAAGCAACACAGGAAAGGAACCAATCCAAGCCAGCTGCCTGATGGTGTAATTCATAACAAGAAAACCACCGGGGGGCGGGGGGGGAATCATGTATGGACTCGTTTTCCTTTGCTGCTCCTTTCAATTGTCCAAACTGTCCCCACACAGTCAGTTTACCTCTAACCATGTTTCTGCTATGTTCCCTGTTGCATTTCAGTATGTAACACAGGTGGATAACACCTCCCTACCTGACTCCTGCTGTAAAAAATTACTGAAATTCTTCCCTCGAAATTCTCGCAATATTTCTCCCCTGTCCCAGTCTGCTCTTCTGTGCCAACTTGAGCAGCAATGCCCAAATATGCCTCTAGTCTTGATCTCAGATTCACCAAAAGAATTGCATTGAGTGAAACGCTAAGAGCTTGCACTGCAAGACTGATGCTTCGAAGGGAACGTACCAAGTAGGAGCCCAACCATTACAGCAGTGCGGCGCAGCCTGGTCCTTTCTCCGTTAAGGAGCTCCAACGTTTAGCCTGTCGGCGGCCCCAAAGCTTACTCCAAAACCTTCTGAACGTTCAAAGCAAGAGCTCCTGTACTCCCTCAATTCTACAGACTCTGGATGAATTAACAACTGCATGCTGATAGGCCACCCCATGTTTTGTAGAGCTGCAGAGGGGAACACAGGATGTAGGGCCGGTCTCAGTGGTGGCTGCACCTCTTTGTGGAATGTGTGAGGCAAGGAAATCCAAGTTTTCCTTTGGTCAGCCGTTCATGCCGATTCAATCTTTGGCAGAATTTGTGAAAAAAACAAACAGGCAGAGAGGGATTTGTGCAAGTAGCTGCACAAACCTGCAGTTTGCCACCGACTGATGTAAGTGCTGGATGGAAAGTTCTGCTCTAGTGGGGAGAAAAATTATTGGTTTGCAAGAGAAGGCTTACTTGTTTTCAGTTGTTGTTTTAAGTTTTAGCATTTGGTTACTCGCTGTCAGGGCTTTAGAAAGAGCAGGAAAATTGGTGCAATATGGCACAGAACCGGATTCAGCTGTTTCAATGGATGGATAGAGGAGTGTTTTGGTTACTATTGCTAAGGGACAAGCAACCTCTAGTCAACAGTTGTTAGTCACAAGGCTGGAGAAGTCAATTTTTTTTTTTAAAGCTTCCTTCTTTTTGAGGTTCCTCCTGTGAATGCCCCTGGAGGGATTTCCTTAGTAGTCTAGACCTCTCCCAGGCTCCCGTCCATTCTTCCCTTTCTGCCTTTTGTATTTAGAGGTCCCTCAGAACAGGAGGCACAAAGCTGACTTGACTTGTGCACAAATCCAGCACTTGTAAGTTTGCAGCACATTGACACAAGTCTCACATGTGCTAGATGCCGTCAGATTCTCAATCGACCTGTGCACACCAACCCTGTCCACCGACAAAACAAGGGCACAGAATTGCCCAGATAGACATCTGACTGCATTTACATTGGAAAAGAAAGTAAATGAGGTATAGATCATTCTTTACAACTGTGACATCTCCAACAGCAAGCATAAATACTAGAACAAAGGTACTCAATGGAAAAGAACTTTGGCCATGAGACTTTGGTTGCATTGCACTTTTCCAGCTTGTGAAAGCCATGGTATATCCAGGTGTCTTTACTGGTACTTTTATCACTAATGGTTGATATCTGAAGCCTTCTTTCAGCCTGAGGGGCCTTCCTCCGATTAATGTGGCTTTCAGTCAAGCAGAAGGAAGGCTTCAAATTTTGCTGGATGCAGCAGGGTACAATGCAAACAAGTGAAAATAAAAAGGATGAAGGACGGACATCAATTATTTTTGATAATTCCTTCCACTATCACTGAAAATGGCTCAGTGGTCGATCCTGGGACGTCTACGGAAGGTGTCAAATCCAAATCCCTGGTATCTTCAGTTAAAACGATCTCAGGAAGTAGTTGTGGGAAAAGACCTGAGTAGCCCCAGAAAGCCTCTGCTACATAGAGTAGAGCGCACTGGGCTAGGTGGACCAAGGGTCTGAGTCTGTGTAAGGCAACTTGGTACGCACATGCGCTCCTCGGGGTCATAAGGCAAGGTGGTGCAGAGCAACCACGGCACGGAAAAGAAGGGGGTGATATTAGTGTGCCCAAGATGCAGTCAACCATCAACACACAGGGGAACAAAGATTTGTGTGTACTCACTGTCTGGTCCAGCTTGGGTGATGGCCATTAGGGACGTGGACTTGGTCAGCGGGGAAGCCACGGGGTGTGTACAGAAGCTGAAGGCACGTGGCTGGGATCTTTTGCATCTCTGTGGAACACAAGACAATTATACACTCCAAGAGAGCAGATAGTCAAGAGGCTTACATCAGCCCTGAGACACAGAGTACAGAACAGAAACCTTTATTGGCATAACATAAGTAAACCAGGCAAGGAAAAGACACAGAGTAAATGAAAGTCTCGGATGGAAACTCAAATCAAAAATGTAAAATTAACGTTATATAGCAGTTGTCTTCTGCCCAGAGGGCTTTTCTGTTTACAGACAGAAAATTCTGTGTGTGTACTCGCACACACACCCATGTTACCTACTGTCAAGTTGCTTCCAACATATGGCAACTCTGTGAATGAATGACCTCCAAAACATCCTATCATGAACAGCCCTTTCTCAAGTCTTGCAAACTGAAGGCCACGATTTCCTTTACTGAATCCACTGAGAAAGAAAACCACCAGGTAGAATATGTTGGGGACATTACTTAGCGCAGTGCAAGCGACAATGTCTTGAAAAACTGAAGAGGGAGAGCCGCTCCTTAGAGCATCCTGCCCGAAAAAGTACAACCATGGTGTGGTTGTTTACCAACACCACCACCACCACCCCCGCATTTTGAAGGATTTATTAACAATCTTGTAGAAAGAAGGGAGTTATGGAGTCTGTGAGGGACAGGAGAACATTCTGCCCTCACTCCCACACCACCAGTTGATCTCAAACCAATCGGAATTGGGGGAGGGGAATCCCCAACAGCAACCTGAGGCGACAACCTCAGCCAAAACCAACTGATGGAAAAGATTAACTGGGTTCTGGAGGGAGAAGGGCAGGGGTCATTTCCTGCAGGAGCGCACAGGAGCGGAGCTCCGGCAGTAAAGAGCTCGGGGGGCGGGCACATGCAACAAGCCCCACCCCCTGCTCCCACCCTCAGTCAGAGCAAGAAGCAGCCAGGTAAGTTGCAGAGTCCCCCCCCCGTCCAAAACAGTCCAGTGGCACCTTTAAGACCAAGTTTTATTCAGGTACAAGCTCTCCCTCCTCTGCGAGGACAGATCTGCACGTCCCCCCCCCCCAATAGCTAGGAATCCAGTGGAGGTCCAGTGGAGCCTGAGCGGTGGGTGTTCCTTCTGACACACTTCTGGTGATGTCAAGAGGTGTGGCATATGCAAATAGGTTATGCTAATGAGTTATGCTAATGAGCTCCTGCACCTCTTTTTCAACGAAATGACCCCTGGAGAAGGGACAGGGGGTACTTCAGTGGATTATTTAAATGAGGGGTGCCCGACATGGTGCCCGTGGGCGCCACGGCGTCTGCCGACACCTTTCCCGGCATCCGCCAAGCATTTTTAGACCGTGCGTGTGGCCAGGTGATTAGCCTGTAGAGACCTGACTGGCCGTACAGATGGGAATAATGTTGTTTCAGCAGCAGTTGCCACCACAGTCTTAGTTTTATTCTCTCTCTCTTCTCTTTCCCACAGTATTTTTCAAACTTAGAAGAGTTGGATTTATACCCTGCCCTTCACTCAGAGTCTCAGAGAGACATGGGCTGCTATCACACACACTAAATAATCCACTTTCAATCCACTTTCAGTGGATTCCACTAAATAACCCACTTTCAATTCACTGAGTAATCCATTTTCAATAATCCACTTTCAACAATCCACTGTACAGTTCGCAAAGTAAAATGCAGTTGGAAAGTGCACTGAAAGGGGATTGTTTAGTGCGTGTGATCACAGCCTTACAATCACCTTCCCTTCCTCTCCCCACAATAGACACCCTGAGAGGTAGGTGGGGCTGAGAAAATACTGAGAGAACTGCTCTTTCTCAGAGAACAGCTCTGAGAACTTGTGACTGACCCAAGGTCACCCAGCAGGCTGCTTGTGGAAGAGTAGGAAATCAAACCCGGTTCTCCAGATTAGATTCCTGCCACCAGTGCTCCCTCTAAGCTGAGTTAGTGTGAGCTAGCTCAGTTTTTTAGACTCTGGCTCACACATTTTTGTCTTAGCTCGGGAAGGATGGCTCCAGAGCAAACTAATTT